CCCCCCGTCTGCTCCAACCCATTTTGGACCAACAAATTCCATGCTCCCTCCAGCAAGAAATGGTGGCAGTGGTCAGAAAAGGCTGGTCCAACCTCCCCATTAGTCCAGTGGGTTTACAATCTGCAGAACACAGCGAGTCCAAGGGTACTTCAGCTTCACAGCAAGGTGGATTCTCCATGGGACTGGTCTTCAGAGACTCCAAGCAGCCACAGCAGCAGCACAAGTCACCAGAGCCTGCAAGCACTCAGCACCTCGCAAGGAGAGGAGCTCCACCACAAACAGGTCATCCCTTTTTAATGGCTAGGATGGAAACTGGAAAGCAGGGCTCTTCCAGGGGTCCCTGCTGTTTTCTGGTATGGCAATTACTTATTTTTCCAGTGGGTTTTTGGTGTGCAGTGAGATGACTTAGGGCAGCCTCATATTTCCAAGCCAGTAAGATCCTGTGTGAATCCCTGATGAATTCACAAGCACACAGTCTTATACTCCAGGCAAATGCAGCAGCAAGCTCATGGTCCCCTTCTCTTCCTTATTTAGACAGAGGGCAGCACATTTGGGGAATATTTCACAGGTCTGAGGGGGTCCAGAAGCACTGAGCTGTTCTCTGCTTTACCACAGTGCTGTCTCTCATTAAAAAGAAAAAAAGAAAAAAACAGATGTAAAAATGGAACACAGAACTGAACTGAAAGAAGCATAGCTGGAGCGAGAAAAGCTGAGCAAGAGGGGATCAGGCTTTAAAAACAATGGAGCCTTTCAGCTGAGCTGGTTCGAGGCCGCCAGTGAAAGTGAGGAGAAAATACATCACCTTGCGGATCTGGGCTAATTCTGCTATCCGCTCCCCAAATTCCTGGGCATCTGCCTCATTGCACTCCACCTCCTCGGCCCCCAGCTTCTTCCAGAAGATGCCCACCGGCTCCAGCAGCTGCCGGTTCATCAGGTGGGTGAGATCAGGAGTCCAGTGCTGGGAGGTGCCAGTCACCGTGACCTTCCCAGGGCTCTCCAGCTGCACGTTCCAGCGGAGGAAGCGCAGTTTGTGCTGCTGGATGAAATCCACTCGGTAGATGTGCTCGTTGGGACGCAGCAGCTTCTCGCCATCCTGGGGCCTCATGTTTCTCTGCTGCAGGCTCTGGAATCGCAGCCGCATGCGCCGCGTGAGCTGCTCGTCGCAGGTGAAGGGCAGCTCAAGCACCCCTGCCTCGGCTGCCATCACCTCGGCTGCTCCTCTGCCCCGTCCTCAGCAGCGCGTGGCTCTCAAACAGGACACGCAGGGGGGAAGATCAGACAGGCCCCTGGAGCTGGTGTCCCTTCTCCACAGCTGCAGCAGTGCTAGGCAACCCGGGCCAGTGACGCAAAACACCTCTGGGGCTTCCCCTGAGTGCCCTCCCCACTCATTTGCAGATTCAGAACTGCTGGTGCTGCTGTGCACGATAATCTATAGGGAAGGGATGTCTCATGTCAGCCTGCCCGGCAACCCGCCTGACAACCATGGCTCATTATCCCAAAACAAAGCCAGGGATGCCACCTTGGGAGGGATGAGTGGCAGTGGCTTTCTCTGAGTGCAGGTTCATGGCTAATTCAGGCTAGAATGAGACTCTGGAGGAGTCTGATCCAACCTACTGCTCAAAGAAGGACTCACTTCAGGGTTAAATCATGTTTCTCCAGGCTTCATCCAGTCCGTCTTTCAATGTCTCCATGGACAGAGGTCCCACAGCTTCTCTGGGTCCTGTTCCAGGGTCTGACTGAGCTCATGCAGAAGATGAGCTGCAACTTCTGCTGCTGTCCTTTGTCTTCTGACTGTGCATCCCCACCAGAGCCTGGCTCCATCTTGTCCACACTCCCCTATCCAGGCAGGATGGGGCTCTGAGCAACAAGGTCCAGTGGCAGGTGTTTCTGCCCATAGCAGGAGGGCTGGAACTAGATGACCTTTAAAGGTTCCTTCCAAACAAACCATTCTGTGATTCTATGGTTAAGTAGCTGCCTACAGCAATAAGCTCCCCTTTTACCTTCTGTCCTCCCGGACGTACAAACCCACTTTCCTCCTGACCATTTTGGTGGCCTCCATCAGGCTGTGCCATCCAGAAAAGGACACGAGGGTCCCAAGGGACAAACTGACTATAAGCCAATGAATAACAAACTAACATGACCATTGTGCCCTTTTCTGGATGGCACAGCTGGCAGGAGTCAGGTGCCACACTGCTCCTGCAGCAGCAAATCGGCACCAGCATCCTGGCATGGTTTTGCACCCCATTTTAGCATCTCAATTTCTTTTCATCAAAGCTAGACACATCTGAAGGGTCATAGAAAGGGTGTTACAGAGCCAGATCACACCTAAAGCCATGTAGGGGTATCCAAGACTCAGGAATTTAGAAAACAGCTCTCAACTAAATTCTAGTACCCCATTCCCACTCAGTGATTCACACCACACAGACATAATGGGGAGCAGGGACATGGAGAAAGCAAAGTGGAAGAAAATGTTTGAATAAAACAACCTCCTGGGATCCACAGGGATGTGCTGGCCTGCCTTGTTTGCTTGAAGGTATTCCCCTCCCCACACTTAAGAGAGAATTTCACTGTGTGAAATGCAGCATGGGACATGCAGATCCTGTGTTACATCCTGGTGTACACCAGGAACACATTTTCTAGTAGCCATGGCTGATCTGGGCCAAGATTCCTGGGCTGACATTCAGAGATACTAAAGCCTGCATCAGCATCTCTCAGCTCTTGCCAGACCCCAAATAGAGACATTTTGGTGTCCAGCAATGTTATCACAATTGCATGTGTAACCACACTTACGGCCGTGGGCTCATTATTTCTGTCTCTGAAATCTTCAGCAAATAAGAAATTTACTATGAGCATGGTGAGACACTGACACAAGTTGCTCAGAGAATTTGTGGATGCCCCATCCCTGGAAGTGTTCAACGCCAGGTTGGATGGGGCTTTGAGCGACCTGGTCTAGTGAAAGTTGTCCCTGCCTGTGGCACGGGAGCTGGAATTAAATTGTCATTAGGGTCCCTTCCAACCTACATAACTCTATAAATCAAGCCCTTCTGAAAGAAAAGAGAGGGCAGGTAAAAAAAAAACTCTGAGAGTTAAAGCAATGGAAAATGACAAGTCACAAACACACACAGCCAAATTGCCAAGGGAGGAAAAGCAATGCCCCGCAAACTGAAATAATGAAGTGTCCAAAGGGACCCAGCCTCTGTTTGGTTGGCATTTCCCAGGGCAGAGCTGGAAGTGAATGGTGAGGAAGGATGACAACTTGCCCACTCACCCTTGGGGGATGCTGATGGTGAGGAACAAGCTAAACAACCCTGTGCATCACCCTTGTGATGAGAGCCACAGCAGTCACCACAGCCACCATGGCAGGAAGCCTTACTGCTTATCTAGAAGGCAACAACAGCCATCCTGTTCCCATATAAAGAAAACCTCAATTTTAACAAAAAATTGGGATGCTGCAAGAAATCCCTGAGCTTGGTGTTCATGCTCACCACAGGAAGCAGAGACTGGAAGAACCACAGCACACAGAGCAGATGTAAAGATGTGGGGTGGAGGAAACCATCTCAGGTTTCCTCCTTTTATGAAAAGAAAACCATACCTCATGGCTATAGGAGGCTGTGGGTGAAGGAGGTGGTGCAGCCTGCACACCCTGGCTGCCTTTTACAGCAAAATCTGGGAAAAGTTGCTTACAACTTGCTGGTCTCTTGCCCTGCATTGATGCACACCTGCACCGGAGGCTGAAGTCCCCCTGCCTTGGCTTTCACAGGGCTGACATCTTGCACAGCTGAGGCCATGGTGGAGATGGGCACAGACTGTCCAAGGATGTGGCACTGAGCACCTCCTTCCCCCTGTACCTCTCTGCTTGCTCCCCAGGCCTGCAGCCCCTTGCCCTGGTGCAGCTCCCTGGTGCCTTTCTGGCACACAGTACATTCCCCTTGGACCCCACACTTTGAAGGAACACTGCCACATGGTGCCATCCAGCCATGGACACGCCAGGGATGGATGCTTTGGGCAAGCAGTGACTTGGGAGAGATGCTAACACCCTGAAATCAACCTTCCTGCCCCAGCATGAGGTGTCTCACTGCCAAGGTGGAACACATTAAACAGCCAAAGAGAGGGGACACCATGGGAACGAGGGAAACGGGCCTAATGCTGCAGCTGAGCATCCTGAATTTTGTTCTTCTTGTTAATTTTTGGATTATTTTGGTACTTGAAGGATCGAATATGGGATCTGAAAAACAGGATGGGATTTGATCCACTTGGTTAAGGAGAAACTGGCCAAGGGTTTGGCTGGAGTGCGGTGACTGCAGTCATGATGACTAATGCCCTTTGCAAGTCAGTCTTTTAAGGGAGATTTTTTGCACATTATCAGCTTTTCAGGACATGAGGCATCTCTGAGAACCAGTTTTTGACCTGGACAAACACAATGCAAAGCCAAGGTGTTGACAGGCTCTCCCCTGGCACAGGGAACCACTTACCTTCTGCCACAGAGACTCCCGAGATGCCAGGGAGGAGCAGGCAGCCACAAACCAGCAGTTCCCAACCTGGCCCTGGTGCAAATCATGGGAGCTGATCCCATCCACAAAGAGACGTGGATCATTGCAGATTTCCTGTGGGACAGGAGAAAAACAGACACACTGGCTCAGTGAGCAGACAGGGAAATCAGGCCTTCTTGGCAAAGGAAAATCACTTCATCTCTTCCTCAGACTCCACATAAAGCTGACCTGCAGCTTTCTGCTGGCCTCGCTCATCAGGCTGGTGGCAGAAGGACCTGTCCTGCCTTCTGCTCTCACCAGGACATGGGCAGCATCACAAGACCTACTCCCTGTTCTGTCCCAGCACCAGTGCAGCTTTGTTATAATTATCGCCGTTGATAATGGTATCGTTTCACACCATTACAGCCCTTGCAAGTCTCCTCTTTCAGACGCCTCTACTCTGTGACTCTTTTACGAAGGGTGAGGGATCTGGTCTTCCAGATCCTAGCACAGCAGATAAAAAAAATTCGGTGAGCCAGCTTTGTAGCTGGGCCAGAAAGATTAAATACTCATTCTGCCAGGATGGTGGATTGTGGATAGACACCATGAATGGAGAAACTTGGGTAGGAGGCAGCTGGGAGGTAAGCTCATCCCTCCAGCCATGCAGCAAGACCATTGGCTTTTCTCTGCCTGACTCCTCTCCAGGCTGCCCTCCCTGCTCCCCACTCCCACTTAGAGCCTGGCCAAGAAAACAAGTAATAGAGGGTGTTGAGCAAGCTCCAGGTGACACACTGCTTTTTTAATTTTTTTTTTCTCCTGCTCAATCCCGTTTGTAAGTTCACGTCCAGCTGGAGGCTGGGAGCAGATAGAACAGACAAAGAGCTGAAAGAACCATTTCCCCTTTGTTATTACATTTAATTTCAAGAGGAAAAAGGAAAAGCAGATTATTCTTCTTCCCCCACACCTCCCAATTTTTCAGGCTGGTTGTACCCAGAATAATATGCCCTCCCCCCGTGACTTTGCATATGAGGACTTGTGCTACATCTACCCATAGATTCTTGGAAGGATTTGGGTTGGAAGGGACTCTAAAGATCATCTAGTTCCAAACCCTGCACTCTAGGCACAGACCCCACCCACTAGATTGTTGCCTAAGGCCCCATCACAGGGAGGAAAAGGAACCACAAGCACCTCCTGCTATTCCCACTCAGCCCAGCCAGCACCAAACACCTCCAAATTAACCTGACACAAACTGGCTAGGATGAGACCCAAAAGGAAAAGGACTAATTCCCCCGAAGCTGGCGTTGCAGGATGCTGGGATGAGCGCTAGGGGGAGGCAAGCTGACAGCAGCAAGGGCAGGAGCCACCTGCGGCTCAGCATCGCTGGGCGCACACCGGGATGGGAGAGGAGCGATTCAGCTCCGGTTTCACAGCACGGGAAGCACCCAGCAGGGCGGGTGTGTCTGGGGGTGGGGGTGTCTGTAAGATCAGCTCTTTGTGATCCTGCTCTGGGGAACAGAGGCTCTTTAGCCCATCTGAGGACCACAGCTGTCCCTTGGGGAGGTATGCAGATTACAATAAAGGAGCTGCTTGGTATTACACAGACAGGTGAGAACACGAAATCATGAGAAACACAGAGATGCAAAATGGTTTGGGTTGGAAGGGATCTTTTAAAGCCCATCTAGTCCAAGTCCCTACAATAAATGGGGACATCATCAACTGGATCAGGTTGCTCAGAGCCCAGTCCAACCTGACCTTGAATGTTTCCTGGGGCTGGGACATCGATCACCTCTCGGGGCAAGCTGTGCCAGTATCTGACCACCACCACTGTAAAAAACTTCTTCCATATAGGTAGTCTAAATCAACTGTCCTTCAGTTTAAAACCACTACTCCTTGTCCTATCTCAACAAGCCCTGCTAAAAAGTTTATCCCCATCTTTCTCGTAAGCCTGTTTCAAGTACTGAGAAGCTGGAGGAAGGTCTGCCCTGAAGTGCAGAGCGGAGCTGCCACGCTTCCCTGCAGAAGGCACACACACCACGCTCAAGCCCTGGGACTGAGCCTGGTCCCAGTGGACTCCCAGTGATCCTAAGCACAGAATCACCAAATCAATGTGGTTATAAGGAATTTCTGGATATCATCCAGTCCACACTCCCTAATCAAAGCAGGGTCAGCTACAGCACGTTGCTCAGGACTGTGTTCAGTCAGGTTTTGAGTATCTCCAGGAATGGAGACTTTGCAACCTCTCTGGGAAGCCTGTGCCAGTTTTTGGACCACCCTCACAGTAGAAAGTCTTTTCTCACGCTTAAATGGAATTTCCTGATTTTCAGTGTGCACACACTGTCTCTTGTACTGTCACTGGGCACCACTGAGAAGTCTGGCTCTGTCTCCTTCATTCCCAGCTATCTGGTATTTATGGACATTGTCAAGATTCCCCTGAGCCTTCACTTCTCCAGAGTGAAGAATCACAGAATCATTAAGAAGACCTCCAAGATCATGGAATCCAACCATTAACCCAGCACTGCCAAGTCCACCACTAAACCATGTCTCTCAGCACCACGTCCGTACTTTTCCTGAATATTTCTAGAGATGGTGATTCCACTGCTTCACCGGGCAGTCTGTTCCAATGCTGGAACACCCCTTCAGCGACGAAATGTTTTCTAATATCCAATCCTCGTAAAGGGGAAGGCAGCATTGCCTCCTTGTTCTAATGCCGTGGAACTGATTCTATCAGGCTGAGTCTCATCCATGGGTCAGTGTCCTCAGAAAAATCCTCTGGGAAGGTTTGCCATATTCCTTAGACTGGAGCTTACCAATATTAAATTACTTGGATTCTTCAGTCCCTATGGAAGATGCTGAGTTTCCTGTCTACACTGTGTGGCCTCAGTCCACTGGGATGACATTCCCTGTATTCTCTGGCTGTACTGAGGTGGGAGCCAAGGACCAAGGCACTGCTTCAGCCAGGCTGCAATGCTCCAGGATTGCATGGAGCACAGTGGGGCCCTGGTGTGTGATGCAAAGCACACTCAGAGCCATGGAGCACCAGAGGTGGTTGATGAACAAGATACCAAGGGGAACTAGGTCAAAAAGCCAAGAAAAGCTTTGGAACATTTGGAACAGTGCTCCTTTTCCTGTGAAAAGTGCTGGAAGTGATAAGGAGCTTGTTCTCCAGCCAGACGGAATTACAGGGCCTGGGACTTGCATGTGCAAAGGGAGGAGAGCAGCAGAGATTCCCAGACCAGAGAAGGTCGTGACCTTCCTCTCCTCCCTGCCATGCAGCAGACAATCCAGGTGAGCAATTACATTGATCCAGGCAGCAAACACCACGTCACCCTCCCAGCACCATGACCCTGAGAGAGGAGGGCAGCACACCAACATCTACACCCGCACACACCCTGGGGCTTTCTGGGTTCAGCCTTCAGCCACCACAGAACCAGCTCAAACTGCCTCTTGCCACTTGAGGCTTCAGCAGACAGGAAGTCCATCCTGTCCTTCATTTGTCACAGCCAGATCCTGGGTCCTGGTTGCTCCTAGTCTGGACACAGATGGAGAGCAGGAAGGAACAGGGAAGGGAAGCCAAAAGCTGTGGCTGCAGGGAAGCTATGGTTTTAATATGTGGTTCTTAACACTACCTTGGCCAAGGGAGTCATCCATGTCTCTTTACCCCTAAGGAGAACCTGTCTTGGAAGATTCCAAGAATCACCAAATCATTAAGGCTGGAAAAGCCCTTAAAATCACCAAGTCCAACCATTAATCCAACATTTCCATGTTCACCACTAGATCATGTTGCCAAGTGCCACACCCACACATTCTTTGAACACTTCTGGAGATCGTTATTACAAGGATCCTAAGCACCATCAGAGATGATCTACCCTCCCTAAAATTGTCTGCTGAAATGCCTGCTGAGCTCCAGGCAACAAAACACAATTTAGAGAAAGCCTGTGCGGATGGTTCTATGGAAAGATTCAGGCTGATAACACGGAGAGGGCCAAAACAGTGATTTAAAGTTCTGGTGATTCATATCCTCCCTCCTCGAATGGATGTGGAACAGAGGTGGAAATCAGAGCCAGAGCAGGTCCCTGTCAATGAGGGGCTGATTGCAGAGGTCTGGCTTATGGGAGCCCAGATTGGGACAGTATGCTCCCTCTGGCTTTGGATTTTTGAAGCTCATTAAGGGGGGAAAAAACCCCAAACAATCAGAGCAATTATCTTGTAGTTTTTCCTTCCCACCCAAAAGCACATGGTCTTTCCCTTTGCTCTCCCTTTTGGGATACTTTCCCAAAACACACACAATTTTCTCCCAAATACATTTAAAGCAGAAAATATCTTTCTCACCATCTCCAGCCAGTCCAATTCCACACACGGTCATAAGGAGAAAAACACTCTCTAATTTACTTTAGAATTGGTGAATGTTTTACGAAAAATGTTTCCTGGTGCAGGTTTCTGAGATTCAGATTCACTGGGGATCTAGATCATGTCCAAACAGATGTGAGGAGGAAAAAGCTCCGGCAGGAGGAGGAATAACCACGGGAGATACAACATCTGCTGCATGCCAGGACCATTTTTTGCTAACAAGATTTTGTAAGGAACAGACTAGTCTAATTTCATTGCAGAGCCTGGCTGTTTCAGAACAATGCCTTCACTGAGACTTGCAAAATCAGCAAAATAATCTATTAGCATGGCTGCATTCCCTCCCTCCCTTCTGAGCAACAGGGAACTGAAAGGATCCTGTCTTAAATGTCACTCCCACAGACAACAGAGCAAGAGGCCCCCAGGCATGGCAAGCAATGGTGACACAGCAGACACAAAGGTCCCTGCGTTGCCCTGCTGCAGGTATCTGCAACTGGGGTGTGATTTTGCAAAAAGGGGATTAATAAAATTTGCACCAGGGAGACAAAGGAAAGGGAAACGGGGTGAATTTAGAATACCAGGTGTCTATGCTTTCAGATAGATTAATATACGGTTCTAGAATCATGGAGTGGTTTGGATTGGAAGGGACCTTAAAGATCATCTCTCTCCAACCCCCTGCCATAGGCAGGGACACCTTCCATTGGACCAGGTTCCTGAAACCCCATCCAACCTGGCCTTGAACACTTTCAGGGATGTGGCAGCCACAGCTTCTCTGGGCAACAGGGAAGTGA